GATAGCCCTTGTGTAGCTTTGTGCATAATTTAAAAACAAACAAGCGCTCAGAAAATATAGCAAATACACACAACGAAGAAATGATTCGCTCCAACTGAAAGTTGGAACTGTAAGTATTGGAAGTTATGGATAGTATATGGTATAATATGCTAAATATTTTTTTCTCGCATGATAATAAGCGTATTTAATTAAAGAGAGTCGGTGAACGTGCGATAAAAATACAACCCACAATCTGTTAATTAACAGGCTTATTATACCTTTGAGCCGCGACGCACACCCCTCTAAAATTCCCTGTTTTCTGTCGAAATTGTTGCCTTGTTGGTTTCATATTTTATTCGCCACAGATTGATTAGTGTATCGATACCCAAAAAAGATGGACTATCAAAATGGTATTCTGGTTAGCCTAAATTTCAACTTCTTACAATTTTCGCTTTGAAGGAGAAATGTAAAATATCGTGTGGGATATCGATGTTAGGGAATCGTGAGAAAAGGGAAAAAAATTTAGTTCAGAAGCAACCCCTTCCATCTTTATTTAGTCGACTTTAATTTGTGTATTCAAACTCAACGTGATGTAACACAGTATTTTGTAGTTTTTGTTGTTGTTGAACTCTCTTATAACAACGTATTAACTTTTAATTGTTCGTAATGTAAGAGACAACTGCATAGGTAATTATGTAATATGTATGCTAATAATCATGTTGAATTATATGTTTAATATAACCAATTTTAATTGCTTTAATAGTCCGTGTATGAAAGGCGGACAAAGAGTAAATTATAATACGAAATACGTGGTTTAGAAACTCCATATACGTAAAGTTACTTGAACTATATATATATATATGTGTGTGTGTGTGTGTCTATACATATATATATATAGCAGCATGTCTGTGTCATGTGCTTTAAAAACCCACTACACCATATGATTTAGAATAACCATATACTCGGTACGTTTTGTACTATTTGGGGCGTGTCTTACATTTAAATGATCTCTGAAACAGACATGCTTACAAAATCTAGAACGGTTTTAAACTAATTCTTGGGTATAGGATTCTATGATCATTTCCAGCACACAATCTTTATGTTTGATTTAACATAATAACTAAAACATAAATCTTCTTCGAGGTTTTAATTCAATAATTTTCTTCAGTGATGTCTATTGCTTCAGTTTTTTTTTCTTTTTGTATGTGCCTTAATGGTTAGCGTGTCTAACTGTGAATACGAAGATTTACGTTACCACAAAATCTCGCTCTTCACTTTGGGAGCATAGGTGTTTTATTATGGTGACGGTCAAAACCCTCTTTTTGATTAGAGTAATCCAAGAGTTGGTGGTGGGTGCTGTTAATTAGCTGCTTTCGCTCTAGTCTGTTAGTTCAAAATAAGGAATAACTACGTAGACAGCCCTGATGTACCTTTGCGGGAATAACTGAAACGGACAACGAAACATATTTTTGTTGTTGTTTCCTAACGTAAACATAAGAAAGAAAAGTGTCATCCGTTCAGGTAAGTCATAAATAATCAAGAAATATAACTAATGGTTCAACAATTTGGAGTACAAGAACGATATTTTTGGAACATGCTGTTAAAGAGACAACGCTTGCAATTTTTGTTGAAAAGTAATTATTTTCCATACTGGGCCATTTCAGATGATGACCAAGCAAAGGGCCGGACCTAGGCTTGTTATGAAATATATCATTCCCCAAATACGGTTTTGTTTACTTTTGCAATATCTGTTCGTAGTCCAGGCCACGAATCGGGCTTTGGAGGATCCTATGTGGCCCGCGGGCCGGCTACTGAGAACCACTGCTATATGTTGTTGTGGGTTGAGTAAAGCTTCCAACAGGTAATCGCCCCCCAGTGGCACAGCGGTATGTCTGCGAACTTACAATGCTAGAAACCGGGTTTCGATACCCGTGGTGGGCAGAGCACAGATAGCCCTTGTGTAGCTTTGTGCATAATTAAAAACAAACAAACAAACATAACAACAGGTAATTTTGTGTTGTTAATGGTAAAATAAAGTGGGCAAAGTTTAAGTAAGTGTTGTTGAGTATATTTAGGAGTTTTAGAATACAAAAAGTGAAATGTACTCTAAGATTCGCCAGATTATGTGTTGTTGAGGTGGCAGAAGATTCACAGCCATTCATTGTGGTAGGTTAATGTTTAAAATGACGTGTTATTAAGGGAAGAATCACAAAGTTATGTTTGCCGATTTGCTTATTTCACAACATAAGTTGTAAATTGGAATATAATTTTATACAAAGATCTTCAACTTTTAGAGCTATTACAAAGTGGGACATACTTTTTTTTGCAAGTGGCGACTACAATTTGAAGTTTATGTTTTTGACCACAGTCGAAGATATTGGATGTCAGAGAATTGCTTTGTTTTAGAAAAAGGCTGTTTAACTTGAAATTGTGGAGTTACAGTCTCTTAAGTTGTACTGACAAAGATTTGTCGCCCAGTGTTATCTGTGAGTATTTATAATTGATTGGTTGACAACTTTATTCACATACGGTGCCGTAAACGGTGAGGAGAAGTAGTTGGGCATCCTCCCTAAGCCTTCAATAAACACGTTATATATGTCATCACTTAACACGAAATTTCATTCATTAGAACAATTTTACTTAATTTAAATCCACTGTTTTCG